TCCAAAGTATGTGAGACATAGTCTTGCCATCCTTGCTTCTAAGGAGCATTCTGGTTGTACTTCCTCCAAGACAGATTTGTTCATTTCTTTTGGCAGTCCATGGTATGTTCAATATTCTTCTCCAACACCACAATTCAAAGGCATCAATTCTTTGGTCTTCCTTACTCATCGGCCAGCTTTCCAATGCATATGAGGCAATTGAAAACTCCATGGCTTGGGTCAGGCACACCTTAGTCTTCAAGGTGACATCTTTGCTCTTCAACACTTTAAAGAGGTCTTTTGCAGTAGATTTGCCCAATGCAACGGGTCTTTTGATTGCTTGATTGCTGCTTCCATGGGTGTTGATTGTGGATCCAAGTAAAATGAAATCCTCAACAACCTCAGTCTTTTCTCAGTTCATCATAACGTCACCTATTGATCCAGTTGTGAGGATTTTTGTTTTCTTTGTGTTGAGGTATAATCCATAATGAAGGCTGTGTGTGGCTTTTGATCTTCATCAGTAAGTGCTTCAAGTCCTCTTCACTTTCAGCAAGCAAGGCTGTGTCATCTGCATAAAGCAGTTTGTTAATGAGTCTTTCTTCAATCCTGATGCCATATTCTTTTTCATATAGTCCAGTTTCTTGGATTATTTGCTCAGCATACAGATTGAATAAGTATGGTGAAAGGATACAACCCTGACACACACCTTTCGTGACTTTAAACCACACGGTATCCCCTTGTTCTGTTAGAAGGACTGCCTCTTGATCTGTGTACAGTTTCTTAGTTAGCACAATAAAATCTTCTGGAATTCCCATTCTTCACAATGTTATCCATAATTTGTTATGATCCACACAGTCGAGCGCATTTGCATAGTCAATAAAACACAGGGGAACATCTTTCTGGTATTCTCTGCTTTCAGCCAGGATCCATCTGACATCAGCAGTGATAACCCTGGTTCCACATCCTCTTCTGAATCCAGCTTGAATTTCTGACAGTTCCCTGTCGATATACTGCTGCTGCCACTTTTGAAAGATCTTCAGCAAAATTTTACTTGTGTGTGATATTAATGATATTGTTCAATAGTTTCCACTTTCATTTGGATATCGCCTTTCTTTGGAATAGCCATAAATATGGATCTCTTCCAGCCGGTTGGCCAGGTAGCTGTCTTCCAAATTTCTTGGCATAGACAAGTCAGCACTTCTAGGGCTGCATCTGTTTGTTGAAATATCTCAGTTGGTATTCTGTCAATTCCTGCAGCCTTGTTTTTCTCCAATACTGTCAGTGTAGCTTGGATTTCTTCCTTTTGTACCATCAGCTCCTGATCATATGCTACCTCCTGAAATAGTTGAACATCAACCAATTCTTTTCTGAACAGTAACTATGTATTCCTTCCATCTTATTTTGATGCTTCTTGTGTCATTTAATATTTTCCCCGTGGATTCCTCCAATATTGCAACTTGAGGCTTGAATTTTTTCTTCAGTTCTTTCAGCTTGACAAGCACCAAGCATGTTCTTCCATTTTAGTTTTCTATCTCCAGAGCTTTGCACATGTCATCATAATAGTTTGTCTTCTCGAGCTACCTTTTGAAATCTTCTGTTCAGCTCTTTTACTTCATCATTTCTTCCTTTTGCTTTAGCTACTCGACATTCAAGAATAAGTTTCAGAGTCACTTCTGACATTCATTTTGGTCTTTTCTTTCTTTCCTGTCTTTTTAAAGACCTCTTGCTGTCATCGTGTATAATGTCCTTGATGTCATTCCACAACTCGTCTGGTCTTCAGTCATTAGTGTTCAATGCATCAAATCTATTCCTGAGATGGTCTCTAAATTCAGGTGGGTTAGACTCAAGGTCGTACTTTGGCTTTCATGGACTTGTTCTAAATTTTTTTCAATTTCAACTTGAACTTGTATAGGATCAATTGATGGTCTGTTCTGCAGTCAGCCCCTGGCCTAGTTCTGACTGATGATATTGAGCTTTTCCATTGTCTCTTTCCACAGATGCAGTCGATTTGATTCATGTGTATTCCATCTGGCAAGGCCCACGGGTAGGGTCACCATTTATGTTGCTGAAAAAGATACTTGCAATGAAGAAGTTGTTGGTCTTGCAAAATTCTATCATGTGATCTCCAGCATCATTTCTATCACCAAGGCCATATTTTCCAACTACCGATCCTTCCTTCTTCTCTGTTTCCAACTTTCGCGTTCCAATCACCAGTAAGTATCAATGTATCCTGATTGTATGTTCAATCAATTTCAGACTGCAGAAGTTGGTAAAAATCTTCAATTTCTTCGTCTTGGGCCTTAGCAGTTGGTGTGTAAATTTGAATAATAGTCTTATTAACTGATCTTCTTTGTAGGCGTATGGATATTATCAACAACGTTGTACTTCAGAACAGATCTTGAAATGTTCTTTTTGAAGATGAATGCAACACCATTCCTCTTCAGGTTGTCATTCCCAGCATAGGAGATGATATGATTGTCCTGTTCAAAATGGCCAATACCAGTCTATTTCAGCTCACTAATGCCTAGGATATCAATGTTTATGTGTTCTATTTCATTTTTGATGATTTCCAATTTTCTGAGATTCATACTTTGTACTTTCCACGTCCCAATTATTAATGGATGTTTGTATCTGTTTCTTCTCATTCTGAGTTGTACCACATCAGCGAATGAAGGTCCCCAAAGCTTGACTCCATCCATGTTATTCTCTTTGAGGAGTCAATTCTTCCTTAGTTGTGTTTTAAGTGCCTTCCAACTGGAAGGGCTGATCTTCCAGCACTATATCAGACAGTGTTCTGCTGCTATTCATAAGCGTTTCAATGGCTAATTCTTTTCAGGAGTAGACTACTGGGTCTTTCTTCCTAGTCTGTCTTAGTCTGGAAGCTCAGCTGAAACCTATCCACCGTGGGTGACCCTGCTGGTATTTGAATACTGGTGGCATAGCTCCCAGTGTCACGGCAACACACAAGCCCCCACAGTATGACAAGCTGAAAGAAGCCTTGGGGAAGACCTGCTTACTGATCAAATTACTTTACCTGTCTGAGCCTTGGCCTCTTAACCTGTAAAATGAGGAGATAGTACATCAACGATTGCTAGAAAAAGCAAATTAGATAATATATGTGAAACAATTTGAAAAATTTAATATGCTACTGTATATGAACTTAAGTTGATACATGTTCGGACTTTATACAGTTAAAACTCAGTATTTCCGAGAATTAAAATAGGCAGTGTACATGAAAGGAGCCCTGGTGGCCCAGTGGTTAAGTGTTTGGCTGTTAACTGAATGGTCAATGATTCGAACCCACCAGCCACTCCAAGGGAGAAAGATGTGGCAGTCGGCTTCCATAAAGATTGCAGCCTTTGAAACCCTATGGGGCAGTTCTACTCTTTCCTACGGATCACTATGAGTCAGAATCCATTCGATGGCAACAGGAATGTATATGAAAATGCAAATGGAAGACACATGGCATGGGACGTAGAGACTCCGTAAATGTCAGCTAAGTCAGAACCGAGTGCATGTTCAGTCTTCCAAAATAATTCTACTGATAATAATATGAAAGAAAAAAAAGGAAAATCCATGATCATCTCGATTGACGCAGAAAAGACATTTGATAAAACCCAACACACTTCCTTGATAGAAACACTCAAAAAGCTAGGAATACAAGGGAAATTCCTCAACATTATTAAGGGCATTTGTGAAAAACCAACAGTCAACATTATACTCATCAGAGAAAGACCAAGAGCTTTCCCGTTAAAATCAGGAACAAGACAAGGATGCCGAGTCTCACCATTGCTATTCAATATTGTACCGGAAGTTGAGAAATAAGGAAAGAAAAAGAAATAAAATGTATCCAGATTGGGAAGGAAAAAGTAAAACTATAGCTATTCACAGATGACATTGTAAAATAAAATTATAAGTTTTGGTTTATGAATACAGAGAGTTCTCTTACCTACAACACTAAAGGTCATCTTATTAAAAGTTAGAAACCTGGATGCTG